AAAAAAAAAAAAAAAGGCTCAATTACCCCCTCAGTCACCCCAATTCACGAATCCCCGAAATCTTGAAATTCCCAATTCCCGTAAGTCCGGTAACGCACTTGTAATGCCTCTGGTGTTACAGTTGTCCATGCGCGACGCTTTTGCGACGATTGCTTACCATCAGGTGATCCGTCTGCTAGATTACTGGCCCATTATCATGACGATGGAGTTAAAATACAATTAATTTTGTCACCGCCCGAAAAATCTTCAAGAAAATAGTGTACCCGCTCCTTAACTCTATTCTACCTCCTCTGGTGTTAAAGTACTTACTCATGGGCAGGGCTGATCATTTTCCATCAGGTTAACCGTCTAACCGATTGCCCCTAATACTATAAAAATGACCCATAAGTACTCTTCTCTGTAACAGCCTGCTAAGGCCCACATTCGACAGAAATCGGACCACAGCAGGCATGGGAGAAAACTGTTTCGTGAGTCCCAAGCCTAACTATACAGTATACATGCCGCGGAAGACTTAACGGGTTGACTGCTCCCGCCTGGTTGAGGCGGGAAGGAGTGTCAGACTCTTACTGATTAAAAACCACCCCGTTCCTTCTCCTGCACGTCGAGCCGGAGCCCCGGTTACCCGTTAGGTTCTCCGCGGCTCCGAATCGGCATCGGCCCTATTGGGCCCCATCCAATAGGGTTGCCAACCACACTTTATAATAACGCATCCTACTTTATTTTTGGTAGGTACAACTAAATGAAGAAATGTATCAATATCACGAGGAAAGGTAGTGTGCTCTCACTCGTCTTTTAAAGATAAAGATAGATTCAGCGTCCTGAATGTTAGGCGGGAGCGAACTCCACAGTCTCACTGCATGAACGGAAAAGGAGTGGGAATAGAAATCGGTATTATGGGGCTCGATTTTAAGATTACATTTAAAATGTGAACGAGATAGGACTTCAGGAGAACGAAACAAGGAGAAACGGTCGCGAAGGTAAGAAGGATAGGCTGAGACATATTAAAAATCCTAATTGAAAAACATAATAGACGTATTGCTCGCCCATAGAATTTTCGAAAGTTCCCTTCGGTTTCCCTAGGATCCCATCATCAGATCCTGACCTCATGGAAATGGGACCATCTGGAGAGTATATATACCTACCCTTTCAAACAAAACAAGAATTTTGGAAATTGATTCAAAAATGGCGGAGCACTGCGCGAACAAACAAAAAAAAACAATAAGCCGAACATAGTACCTCCTCCTTTTTTTAGTGTTCCTGCGAAGACGGATCGGAAGTCACTTGACACTGTGTATAATTATACCTACTTAACTCTTGAACTAGATCTACTGTTACATTGATTATGTGATAGCACAGCTTTTAAAAACACCTTCTCAACTCTAAAACAAAAAAAAACAAGATACAAATTAGCTATCAAAAAGTTTTCATTGCTCGCAAAATAATTCGCGCCGCTAGAATGTCAATGTCAATTTTATAATAAACCTAACCTAGTAAAGCGCTCCATTTACTATCTATAATAGCAACAAACTAAATCAATAACAGTATATTAAAAATAAAAATAAATCGAAAAGTCTGTACCTAACTAAATCTAGAAATTATTCAGGTCGATTCTCGTCACATAATGTGAGTTTTTGTCTCAGTCGCACGCCTGTTATCAGCAATAAAGCTATCCTTTTCTAGCCGATGACGCACGGCTATTTCAATAACAGGTAGGTAATTCGATTCAGTGTTGCCATGTAATTGTGGTTACTTTAGTTTTAAGGTAATTTTGTTAGACATTAATACGCGTTGTTTATAGTGTAATTAAAATTAACTAGTACATTTGCTTGATATTAGTCATTTGAATTAAATATGTAAATGACCATAAATTATTTTTGATTATGTCTTTTAATCGACTTCCCAAATAAGGGAAGGTTATCAATTCACTTGAGTATATTCTTTTATCAATAATAAGTAATCATTTAATTAGATGGTAATGTTATAGAAATGTCTTAACGTATTATAATTTATGATTTAAGTTATAAGAGCGACAAAGTAAAATACGTCATATTAACTTGAAACTACTAAACTCATATATTTGCTATCCCACCCACCAACTTATTTATCGTTAAGATTATAGCAAAGAAACCCTATTTATGATAAGCCGGTAAACGAGCAGACGGATCACCTGATGATAACCAATCGGCGTCGCCCATGGACACCCGAAACACAAGAGGTGTTACAAGTGCGTTACCGGCTTACAATCCTAAATACGATTATCACGGGTACTGGCGATGATTTAAAATTACAAACAAAATGCATTCCAATCCCCATCACAGAAGTTCCAAATCCCGAAAGAGGAACGCCGAACGAAAGCACGAGTACAATGTTTGTATGTAGTATTTTTAAATGTAAGAAAATAAAGCGGCAAGACAATGGGAAGTAAGCCAAACAGCAACATATCATTAATCTGCTTAATTGAGTCGATTGACGTAAGTGCATATAGTAGCAACGGGCCAAGCTACTCCTTTATTCAATTATTGCATGACATTTTCAACTTTATTGCTCTGATAATAAGTCGAAAATTGAATGGTAATAATTTCGAGTCTGTACATAGTTACATAGTGTACTATGTGCATCCAAGAAACTGCTATGAGGAAATTAAAGTTTTGCAAATAGGTATTCCCAGTATTATAGATCTTAATTTGTCTTTTCCAAAAAATATCACTCCTTTTACCCCCGAAGGGATACGCAAAGGTGCATATTCGGCACTTAAAGCCACTGTATAATGTAACTTTCCACTATGTTATAAGTCCCATGTCATAGGGGTGAGCCTATTGCCATTTATCTGGCACGATTCCAGACATCTTTTATGGATTTTCCAATAGTAGGTATGGATTAAAATATTAACTTATGCAATTTATTTATTGTCTGTAAAAGTTTTGTACGCAAATTCCTATAATTAGTTCACTGTTGTTTACTCCTTTAGAACATAAAAGACGTGATTTTATGCTTACACTAATCACAAATTTCACTTTAGCCCTTTTTAAAAAAGTTTTAATATCATTACAGACGAAGTTGTAATTTATGGTTTATATGAAATATGTAGGTATAAACTTTGAACGACTTTATTAATATAGGTATACATGAGTTGACTACTCGAGAATTGCGTTATACTGGTAATTTATTATCAAATTACATTGAGATCGCTTTACATAAACAAACAATTACACAAATCCGCAAATTTAATGTTTTGGCAAACATCCTTAGGGTGGAAAAATTTATATTTAGTGCTGACCACACTGGACTTGACGCAGGTAGCGAAAACGTTCACCACTCAAACTCGTGCGCACCGTATGTCATGACATACTCGCGAAACTGTGCAACGAAAACAACAAAATAATTCTTAGAAAATCGCGCCGCGTTTTTATTGGTGATATCCGTGCAAGCTCGTGCGTTTAACACCTTTATAGTGCGAAATACCATAGAATTTGTGTGTTGTGATCTAAATAAACTGTGTAATAATATTACTGGTGTCTGGATTTTTTGCTGCAATTCGCTGATGGCGTACTGAGGTGAGTGCCCCACATAAATAGGCATTTACTTTTTATTTGCAATTTAAAGTTGCTATGTAGAATGTACCTTGGCTGTAAGCATCAATGCCTTTGTACATTCAGGGACAAAAAGTTCACTGTTGAGCATAAAGTTGGTAATTTTATAAAAAGAATACGACGTGTTTTGGCGGTGAAAGGCGTATGTGTAAATTTGTGATCGTGCAAAAACTTCTGCGAAACGAAACGGCTTTATTAAAAACTATTTTTAGTGAAATTACGCAGATTGTTGACTGTCCGCGTAAACATGTATATTGTATATGTAGCAGCGTTATACAACTATCGTCATGTTTATATGATTCATTTAGAGCTACGAAGACATGAATATACTTCAAACTCTTCAGCATGCAATCCATATAATAATTGATTTCCGGTGGAGATTGGCGAATGTATTATCTTTTAGCAAATTCTTACATCATACAATAAGTTATCAGGACAACCAATCAGAATACACAAAAAGTTTAGATAACTATCTATGAATTGAATACCATGTTTAGTTTAAGACCTATTATCATTTTGTCTATGTTTATGAGAATACTTTACTTATAACTTCTGTACATAAAAACTTTATAAAATCTATATTCACACTAAATATTGTAAATGAGAACTAATTAGTAGATTCCTAGAGCTTCAGTTCCAAGCAGGGGTAGTTACAGTTTTTAGTCAGTAAGAGTCTGACACTCAAGGCGAGGAAAAAAGTGTATTTGTTTATGGTGTTTTTTTTATTTAGAGAAAGTTTGGAAGTTGGAGCATATTAGATGATATACTACAGCTACTTTACTTTTTCCTGTAACCATGTTAAGGAAGCCACCGAGACTTGACTTACCAATATTATAATGTTTGTGTGTATGTTTGGTACTTAATCACATCAAAACATCTCATGAAATTTAGAACAGGGGTCGATTATGGTCTGTAATACACATAGGCTACTTTATCCTGCCGTAATGAGGATGAAACCGCTGTTAGAAGGTAACTAATAGATTATCTGTTATTTTATTCCTCATGGGGACTATTAAATGCACATAGACAATGTAACACCCACATTTCAACAGTTATGTTATAAAGTTCCATGTAATAGGAGTGTTGCCTTGTACTGGCACAATTCCAGACTTTGTGCTATTACTCAGAATGTTATCATCAATTTGTTTATTGTACCTTAAAGTTATTGTATGTAGTAAGATATTTTATTTTAGTAGATAGACAAGATAGTCTGCATGCATAAAGCATGAGGTTGGTTTGGCAATCAATCCATCCGGAATTCCTAACCAATTTCGGTCAGAATAAGAATGTTATCATTAATTGTGGTAGCCCGGGGGTTTAAGAAGTACAGGTTTTGAAACCTACCGATTTGACTTTTTCCAAGTTATATGTACTTTCTAAGATTATTAAGACACCACTAACAAACGGTGAATGACAGCATCTTGACCTTATAATTTCTAATTATAAGTTTGAAATCACCATCCCTCATTGAGCATGTGTGGTGATTAATTTTAAATAAACCTTCTCCGTGTAAAAAGAGGCTGATGAATAAAGAAACTTATAAGTGTGCTCTAAAATGATAGGCCAAAGTTTTGCACTGAATATTTGATAAGAGTTTTAAAATACTCGAAACGAGTATGTGTTTGGCACTTTTGGCCAGCTCCAATGAACCAACCAATCTGAGCGCCAAAAGCAGTCTCGTTTCGATTACTTTTAACATAAAACAAACTCGTACTAAGTGCTTAGAACAGTATATTTTCTATCATGTCTCACAAACCTACTTAATATTTCTACCTGTTGATGTCTTTGTGCTTAAATATTTCTTACATTTTAATTTATGCACCTCTGTTTACAACTTCAGTACTTAAAAGGCGCGTTGTGATGCTACCTCTACCTCTTTTGTTTACAATACAGGCTGTACATGCAAATACCGTTGCATAAATAAATCAAATATGTTTAGACTCTATGGACAAGGCTGTTCATAATGTTTACCTTTGCCAGTACAAGTTTAGAAATTTTCTGAGAAACCATTTAGCTTGAAACCTTGGCTTTTGCATTTTGTGTGGTGTGTCTAAAATTATAATAATAATAATATTAACTAAATCTAAATAGCTTTTGTCTGTCCAATCTTGTCTATAAATTAACCCGTTGAAATCCATCCCCTAAATTTGGTCATACAAAAGTAGTCTCTAAACATTACAAATAAGGTCTATAATGTAATGTAATATTAGTGGAAAGCGGTCACCGGTGACCGCTTGGTGATTTATGGGTTAAGCAGTGACTCATCCTATGTATGTAATTGTAATGTACGAAAAAAAAAATGTTGGTACATAAATGTTTCTTGTTTTGTATTCAATTTAGATTATACTAAATATTATAGAAGTATTCTCTAAAAAAAAAATATGTTATCAATTGTAAAAACAAACGTGATTACGTATCGTTTCAATTTTGTTTTTTTTTTTTAAGATTCCCGCCATAAATTATTGTCTATGTCAATCGCCAAATAACTTATTAGGTAGGTACATGTAAGTTTAGTTTCATTTAATGCATTACAAAAACATTAATTAAAAATATTTAATCAATAATATGTTATAGGTATTGACATTGAAGATCTACGAACATACTTATTTGACCTACGTTGTATGTACCTTCTTTATAAATGGCGCTAAAAACATTATTGGCGAATAGTGGGTGTAATATAAATAAACATCTACTAAACATACTTTGATACATTTGTCTATTTGTTCGGGGAATCACAACTGTGACGTCATCTTATTATGTCAGGTATGCAAAGCACGTGTTATCTATAGCAAAAACTCTTCCGTCACCAGTGATTGGGTGACAGACTGTACACAGCGGTAAACTGCGCTTAGTGAGCTATGTGACATGACAAGGAAGTGCTGATGAGGGCTCGTACACAAAACTGCGAAGCGATGCGATGCGAATTCGCAACGTAAAAAATTACGATGCTAATTGCTGCGATGCGATTTCGTGCGACAAGGCGTCTCCCAGGTTGACCGTTCCTTCGACGGCCGTCAACCGTACTATACGTAATTAAGTATATTAAATTGAAAACTAGGTCGTGACATGGATTGTAAAAAGAAGTGTCCACTTCTGTTATTGCTTAGAAGATACAGGAAAAAGAGACAAATAAGATTTTGGGAAGATAAGATTTTGATGCGCGATGCGAATCATTTCGCAAATTCTTGCGATGCGTAAGGGGAGCTCGCACATTTTGCGATGAGATCGCATCACAGTTTTCTGCGATGCGACGATTCAGTCTAACTGCTGCGTATAGCGAGCTGTGTGACATGTAGGTCGTAAAAAAACAATGATCATGAAAATTAAATACCTGTCAGCATAGAATTATAACGCCAGTTACAAAATAATATAATGATAAAAACTAAGATTAATTAATATTTATATTTATAGATATTATAAGTAAATAAAAATAAATAAATAAAATAAAATAGCCTTTATTGCTGTTTCTTATCAACTACTTATTACATATTTTCTTTAACATGCCTACTTTCTAACATACAAATTTTTATTATTTGCTTTTTAACTATCGGCAACTAGGTGTTTTTGTGGAACAGCTTGTCTGTCGACAAAAGCCTCCTCTACAGATTTCCATGTATCCCTGTCTCTAGCTAAACGGGTCCATACTACCACCCCAGCTATTTTCCTGATATCATCTTCCCATCTTTTCGTTTTTCTACATCTTTTTCTTTTACGGTACCTTGGATACCATTCTTTCACTAGCTTAGTCCATTTGTCTCTATTTTCCCTTAGCATATGTCCCGTCCAACGCCACTTAAACTGTCTGTAGACCGTGTGTACATTTTTAAATTTAGTTAGTATAATTATAAGTAAGTAAACATAAAAAAATAAAAAGAAAACAATAAAATAGGTGCTTGGATATTTCAATTAAATAAGGATGCCCAAAAGACTAAATACATAAAATGCCTAATTACATTTATCACAAACTAAAAATAAAAATTATGTCACAGATGCAATGTTTTAATCGTATTATAAAGCGAAATTAGCGTACGAGGAAGAAAAAGAAGGATGTATAGAAATCAGAATGCGTGCGAGTGAGACGGAAGACGTATGCCACAGATGACAACATAATCATGGAATATTAAATTATTTTCCTGGATGTGTCAACGATGTAGAACGCAATTAGAATATTATAATTTTAGATTTAGGTACCTACTATTATTTTATACGATTTCACAGTAGTCTATCTTAATTTGATTTCTTCCTAACTGAATATGCAACAACATGATAAGTTTGGATAAAAACAATATACTTGTCCTTGTACTTATTTTTATTTTTCGAAGTTTTCACGTTGGCGAAGTATGCTTCGTCACAAATGGGCTGGCTCGACCTTACCGAAACCACTTATAGGAAATCAGCGTCAAACAACGATTGTACGGGTATGAGATAATTGCACGTCAAAACCCTAAAGTCAGCCAAAGTATTTTATTAATGGGAGAAAACCCACCACAACCTCCCAAAACCGCTGCAACTCCTCTAAGCCAAGATCTACTAGTAGATACAACCATGCAAACACTGGAACACTAAGGCCTCTGATTGGCCGGTTCCAATGAACGCTGTCGTTTCGATTACTTTAAACTTAAAACATACTAATAGTTACTAAGGCCTCAGTCTCAAATAATTTATGTGTAGATTTGTTTATTACAAACAGAATTTTGACACATCTATACCAATATTGTACACACATCAATCTATACAAAACCAGTTTATCCTGGTGTCGCGTCGCATCATCTTTCCGCACATTTAACGTTCAGTTTATACTGGTTATGTAAAGCTCGATGTGTAGCCGTGTGTACCAATCTTATAATTAGTCTTACTTACTTTTACCCGTAAGTGTTATTTGCCAAGTAACGTAACCCTTTGAGTACTGTCATTATAGACACAATTAAAGAACAATAGGTTGCGGTCACCGGTGTCCTCGCGGT